GGGTCTCACTCTGTCACCCAAGTTGGAATAAAGTGATGTGATCATGGCTCACTGCAGCCTCAAACTCCTGGGCTCAAGCAATCCTCCTGCCTCAGCCTTCTGAGTAGTTGGGACTGTAGGTGCATGCCACCACACCCTGCTAATTTAAAAAATTTTTTAGAGACAGGGCCTCCCTATGTTACCCAGGTTGGTCTCAAACTCCAGTCTCAAGTGAGGTTCCCACCTTGGCCCCTCACAAAGTGCTGGGATTACAAGTGGAAACCGCTGAGGCTGGCCTTGGCATACATTTTCTATGCTCAATACATTTTCTATACTCTCAGTACATTTTCTATACTCAAGTGTGTGAGGAACCAAACACCTTCAACAATGTAAATGTTACAAAACTGATGGCAATTCAAATGCCTCCTGAAGGAAGCATAGGTCTCCCTTAAACCACCTGTTGCTCCAAGATCTGAGGACTGTGTGTCCAGATGATGGCATGCTGTCAGGAAAGTGTGTGAAGACCACTACTTCTACCCTGCTAGAGTGCACAGAGCCACCGTTCTAGAGCTGCCCAGAGCCTTAAGCCCATCCACCTCTATCAGGACCTTTGTCTCATCCAGAACTTTCTGAAGTCTCATCCAGGACCTGCCCTGATGTGTGTCTTCATTTTCATTCCCTATTCACCGGAATTGTTGCCAAGACCAGAATAAGACTTTCAGAGTCTCTGAGCTCCTCCATACATAAATACAAATACCATTGAATTTTTAAACTAACATGAAGTTCATAGGTATGCTGATAGCAGAATGGCTTTTCTTTCTAGATGATTTATTGATTATAAAAGTCTGAATGAATTTACTAAAATGAAGATTTTCTGACGTATGCTTATTTATTTATCTGTGCCTCCAGGATAATCTAGCAGTGACTGTAGACAGCATCTAGTGGCCATTTTCCCCCGACAAACTTTTCTGCCCACTGGCATAGCAAGATGTGATTTTACTGGGTCCTTGCTGTATTTCATAATTAATTTAAAGCCTTCTCCACATGGTCATGTAATTATTCTTATCCAACTGGTTTTATGTTGCAGTTTCTTTTACTGACAAATAACCTTCCTTACCATGTTTTTCACCCATCTTGTCACCTGATTCAAATGTCAACCTTTGTTCAGAGAAATAAGATCTAGGAAAACCTTTCAAAAAGTTTTTAAAAACATTTTTAAAAAGTAACTATGTATATCTAGGAATTGCTCTGGGAAAATATATATGCCTGACTCTCCATGCATAAATGTATATCTAGTGCAGTGATATACATGTGTATTACAAGTGAAATTTATATGTCGAAGATTATTTGGACAGAAGTGGACTTGATTAACTAGAGTTGCCTTTTTTGGATTTATGCCTTAGGATTGTGTTCTTATTATGTAATACACAGGCAAAGTTATGTTACTGTACCTCGATGCAGGGCAAAAATTTATGATGTTCTGCCAAAATTGCCACCTGAGGACACAGAGAACAAAGAAACAAAAAGTCCTAATCAGATTAGAGCTTAATGAACCAGCCTCAAGCCTGTCAGGAACTCACCAAATACCAAGTCATTCCAATGAATAAACAGTGGAACAAAAACTTGGAGAACAAAACGTTTTCTTAATTATTTGCATTCTTTTGGCAGCTGTAATTACAGGATATTTTCCATTGTCTGTTACCGCTTGCCTCTGTGCTGTTGTGTTTTTAAGATGTGGTTTGTTCTCTCTTTCCATGTAATTATGATGATCACTAAAATGAGCAAAATTTTCTTCTGAAATATATACAGGATGATAGATATATGTTTTCACTTAACTAGAACTTGTAGATGACTGGCAGTTTCAGGTTAGTTTTTGTGTAATTTAGTACAGCCATTCATTTAAAGCATACCAAACACACAAGATATCATAGTATACATTATATAGTTAGAATTAAAAAATCAGTAGTTTTTATAGTTAACATAGTGATATATTTGCCCTTTCTTCCAAGATATGAATTTTTAAGATAACATTTCTTTCCTGATGACTACAAAACAATACATGCTTATTTTAGGAGAGTGGGAAAAGCCTGCAATCTAGAGATAGCCACCATTAATTAGGTACATGAACCCTACTTCTAGCCTTTTTTTCTATACATTTTATTTAAAAAATTGCATATTATAATTGTTTTTAAATTTTAAAAACATATGCATACATTGTAAGCAAGTTTTCTTCTCAGTTACTATTCTTCTGTATCATTTATTTATTTATTTATTTATCTATCTATCTATTTATTTTGGAGACAGGATCACACTCTGTTGCCCAGGCTGGAGTGAAATGGTGAGATCATGGCTTACTACAGCCCCGACCTCCCAGGCTCAAAAGATGCTGCCACCTCAGCCACCTCAGTAGCTAAGACTAAAAGCGTGCATCACCATGCCCAGCTAACTTTTTTTATTTTTTGTAAAATTGGAGATTCCCTGTGTTGCCAGGGCTGGTCTTGAATTCTTGGGCTTAAGAAATCCTCAACTGGGCATGGTGGCTCATGCCTGTAATCCCAGCACTTTGGGAGGCTCAGGCAGGAGGATCACTTAAGATCAGGAGTTCAAGACCAGCCTGGCTTACATGGTGAAACTCTGTCTCTCCTAAAAATAAAAAATTAGCCAGATATGGTGGTACATGCTATTTGAAAGGCTGAGGCAGAAGAATCACTTGAACTGGGGAGGCAGAGGTTGCAATGAGCTGAGATCATGCCATTGGACTCCAGACTGGGCGGATCACCTAAGGCCAGGAGTTCGAGACCAGCCTGGCCAACATGGCAAAACCCCGTCTCTACTAAAAATAAAAAAAATTAGCTAGGTGTGGTGGTGCATACCTGTAATCCCAGCTACTTGGGAGGCTGAGACAGGAGAATCACTTGAACCCAGGAGGCAGAGGCTGCAGTGAGCCGAGATTGTGCCATTGTATTCCAGCCTAGGCAACAGAGTTTGACTCTGTCTCAAACAAACAACAAAAAAGGATTCCTCCCATTTCAGCTTTCCCAAGTGTTGGGATTATAGGCATGAGCCACTGCTTCCAGCATGCTTCATGTCTTTAAATGGCTGCATGATATTTTGACATGTATATACTAAAATTCAGAAATGATTTTTAGACTAGATGAAGCTCTAGTGGTATATCTAGCTTAAGATCATAGCTTCTGGTGGCAGGCTGATTCGGGCTTCAGTTTCTTAATTACCCAGAATGCTTACTTTTATTGATTTGAATACCTTCAGATGGCCAAGCCCTTTTCCATTTGCTCTGTTCTTAAGTGCAAAGCCTTACATTACCCATGGTTTTAGCTTTACCTATTCCATGCATTTTGTCTTCACATCGGCATCTGCCACCTTTGGTATCTGATAAGAGATAAGGGAAATGGTAGAGGATTTAAATATGACTGAAAATGTCTTTCCTGGAAGGCCCATCACAGTTTAAGTGGGAGCTACTTTTTCTTTCACTGATGAGCTGTTTTGTCCCTTGTAACTAGCATTGTTTTGTCTTTGTGATGTCCAACGGGTGTATATGTGCTATTTGGAAAGAAAATAGAACAAGAAATTAGGAAAGTGGGTTGTGTTGAGTCGGCTTAGTTACCTTGGCAGCACTTTACCCAGAAATCAGTGTTTTGTTTGGTCCTGGACAGGGTAGGCCAGGCTGCAGTAACAAATCAACTCTGAAATCTCTGTGGCTCAGCAAAAAAAGTTTATTTATTGCTCACCCAGGGACAGACGGCGGCTGGCAGGGATTTGCCTTCATCCCGCAATTCAGCAATGTAGGCTCCTCCACTTGTTGTAGTGCCATATCAATATGTAGCTTCCCAGGTCGCTGCTAGAGGGGAAGAGAAGGATGGAAAGTCGCACCAGCTCTTAACTGCCTCAACCCAGAGATGACACATGTCTCTTCTGCTCCCAATCCCTGGGCCAGAACTAGTAAAGTGGGGTGCTGAAAAATGTCGGGAGTGCATGGATATTTGGAGAGTGCAGTCTCTGCCACCTTATTTCATATCAAACCACAGAAACAAAATTGGTAACTCTTCTTAGTAAACTGGAACAGAGTATCAAAAGGATTATGAGGACCAGAGCACCTGGAATGACTAATAAGTCCATTAAGCCAGGAAAATTAGAACAGTCTGAGGAATCATAATGGTCAGAATGGAAAGAAGCTGACTAAAGGGCTTACTGGATGAAATTAACCAGATAGAATGAGACTGGAGAGAAGAGGTGGCCCAGGAAGTCAT